AATAGTTGCTAGCAAGCTGATTTTGTAAGTGTTCTACAAAAATACCGAATGGCATCAAAAAACATATTTATAGTTATAGAAACAAGTAATATTCAGCAGCTATATCCTTTATCCATATAATAATTAAGAACAACATTTCAAATTCAAGAAACAAATACAACAAATGTTGCAAAGTGCATTAACTCTTTAAGGCCCAAACAACGGTGTAAGCGTAGTTTGAGAAGTTCCGTTCTGCCCAAACAACGGTGTCATCGTCAATTGTGTATCTCTTACATTTTGCTTCGCATTCGCGTTCGTACTAGTTTTTAATGTTTGGAGGTACGAATAACCTATTCAGGGAAAGTCACTCTGCCAAAATCCTTTTAGTTTCATTTCTTGGACTAAACCACACGTGGATAATTTGAGAGAAAAAACATCAAATTTTTTTTTAACAGTTCATTTTCTAAGTTCGTTTTTGAGAGCACTGAATACCAATGTTCTAACCACAAGAACAGGTCCCAGAATGCGTCTTTCTGTGGCCGAAGCTCTGAAATTGTTTCAGTAAGATGTTTTTAATTGTGATAATGATAAATAAAATTTAAATTTTTCGGAAAGTGATTCGGACAGTGAATTTTCACCAGTGAAGCTGAGCGATCAGCTGTTCGGATTCTAGCGATTCTGACGAGTTTATTACACAGACAATGTCCCATACTACAGTATTTATGGTGTAAAAGAAGGAAAGTGCTCTAAACAAAGCTATACTATGGCTAAGCTACATTGAAATCATCGCAGCTACAGTCTGTAAATAACTGTACAAAGTGAATAGTAAATAGTGTGTGTGTAATGCTCATTTTTCTGCCATTTTTTCTCTGAAATTTTGCTTAGCACTCGGTGGGAACTAAGAGCGCCTGAGTGATAAACTAACCCAGAAAGTTATCATAACTTTAGAATATGTTAGGAAATTGAACAAACTTTGAAGTTTTGTTCTCAAATTTGGATATTTACTATTCTTGTGGCTGCAAAACCATGATAAGTGAAGAATTTTTGTGTGAAATGTTGTCCTTGTGAAATTAACACCTGCTGAATTCTTCTTTTCCACTAACTATAACGAAATCAAACAAACACTTATCATCAGATTCAAAAAGTACATTCAATTCTCTTTTAAAAAATATATACTTTTATACCGTCGGCTCTGTGGCTAAGTCGGTGCGAACACTTCGCTTCGTAATGCCGGGATGCCAGGTTCGATCCCAGCTGCGGGCCATGCGTTGGTTTCGACAGTGGTATCAAGAAAGCCGACCGTCCAGAAAGCAATGGCAAACTACTGGACGTAAATTTGCCTAGAGAAACCACACAACAGCCAGGGGCTGTTAGGGTTGGTTCTGCAACGTCCTCTAGAGGATACGCAACAACCTTTTATACTTTTATAGGGATGTATTAAACCTTGGCTTGACTTGGACTGCACTTTGGCTTACTACTTATTGGCTTTCGCCACGGCTCACTCTCTGGATGTTTACTGCTACAAAACTTGCACTGCTTTAACGTCTAGGGTTGACAACACAAACGCCGCTCAGCTTCTTGGTACATTCTGTCAGTTTATTCTGGTCCATTTATTTCACATGTTCAAACATTATTCACACTTTATCACTCGCGACATATTCGAACATTAAACATTTGCGCAACATAAAGACGACATCTTCAAATACTACAACCGTCTTCTCTGACTTCTGATGATCGACTGACCACGAGGCTAGCTCGGGCTTTCCCTGGCTTCCTCGACTAGGCACAAGTATCTCGTGCTGTCCCTTGTTGCACGGACTTTCTGCTTGCCACTATGTAATCGTGAGGACCATGTAAAGCAGGGTCATTACATCCTCCCGCCTTTTAACAAAATGATACTTTATGAAACATCAAGTATCATTTTCCATTCAACTTTTAAATGAATCAATGGCACTAAAATCTAACTTCGCTATTCGGGATTAGTGTTCCTAATTACCTTAAATTACTGCCTTTATTTTAATTTTCTACTATGCTTTTTCTAGTACTAAACTGGTGAAGGGTATCTTTATCTTTGCACGTATTGCATCTGTAGTATAGCTTCGTCACTATATCTATTCTATCAGGTTCAAGTGAAATGATCATTGTGATGATGGTGATGATAATGGTCATTTTTGAGATATTTACTACAGGAATAATAAATCAATTTAAATGTATTACTGCTACGAATTATAGTTCTTGACTATCCTTAATTACTGCCCTTTAAAACTGCTTTCAGTATTTACTGCATGCTTTCTCTGTACTGAGCTGGTGAAGAGTTTATACCATCTTTACACCTATTGCATCTGTAGTATTGTTTAGTCACTATATCTAATCTATCAGGTTCAAAGTGAAATGGTGATAGTGATGATGATTATGATTATCAGCTTTGAGATATTTACTGCATAGAAAATTGGATTCAACCAATATTTCTACATCACCTTTCACAGGGTATTCATCCCCCAAGGACTCTTAGCCGATATGATAGTGGTGATATGATTGTCAGCTTTGAGATATTTACTGCATAGAAAATTGGATTCAATCAATATTTCTACATCACCTTTTACAGGGTATTAAACCGCAAGGACTCTTAGCCGATATGATAGTGGTGAGATATATTTATCATAGTGCTTCCGGTTTCCCAAAAGCCTCTATAACACCTTTTACAGGGTAATTACCCAACCCAAGGAATCTACCACAGAAAAAAAATGTATAATACAATCTCTACAGCCTTTCTTGTACACCCACCCCTCTGCCATTTTTGTAAAGGGAAATTAATGTGGGCCAAGTCTGTCAAAATTCATGGGCCTGAAAGAGTTAAAATACACAGAATTGTTAATATATGCCACAGATTATAATTACAGCAATCTATTAAAGAATAATATCTTGTCAAGTGAAAAACACAAAAAGAATGCTGAGAGTCATACAAATAGTAGTGTAGTAGCTATGGTTTTTGTAGCAGAAATTCATATTTATCTAATCATCAACTATCAGCCATACCTCTCTTTGTTCTTACATTTATGTAAATACGTATGTGGTGAAGTAAGTTTCAGATTTGGTGGCAAGAGTCAGGTTTCACATCTGTTGGGATAGCTAACTTCTGTTATATCTCAGCACTTTCTGGCCATACCTGGCACCACAGATCTTTGTTATAACTGTATTATATACAGGGATAGATAAGTTATGTTATATCTCATAACTTTTTGGCCATATCTGGCACCACAGATCTTTGTTCTAACTGTATTATATACAGGGATAGATAACTTCTGTTATTTCTCAGCACTTTCTGGCACCACAGATCTTTGTTCTAACTGTAACATATACTGGGACAGATGACTTCTGTATTAGCTAAGCACTCTCTGGCCATTTCTGACAGCAGAGCTTTTTTTCTAATAAGTGTACAACATGATGTCAAAATTTTTGTTCAGACATTTGAGGAAGTCAATTCTGACACACAGGGAAAGGTAAAACTTCATCTATGAATGGATTGCTAATCTCTGATGCAAGAAACGTTGAAATCAAAATCCATTCATTTTGTTTTCGTTTAACATAAACATGATATTGAACCATGACAATACATATAATGTATGCATGCTTCCTGAAAACAGAATTGTTATTCTCTCATATTTATCTCTCATATTTATATATAATTACTACAGCTTTATGTATATGGATTTACGGCACACCCACATATAGTGTATAAAATGTAAAATAAATATAGTAAATAAAATAAAAATGTAATTTAAAAAAAAAAGATATATGTATGTTAAAGAAGAGTCATGATATGTTTATCAGTAAATCATACAGTATAAAGAAAATAACTGTGAGACAAAAACTGTATCTATACACCTCATGTTAGAAATATAAATTTTCTTAAGTAAAATATAAGAAAATAAAATTATGAAAAATTAAAATCTTTACTTTGGAATGTTCACATGAATATTTTTTGCAATAAACAACAAAAAACACAATCAAAACAACAATTATCACAATGTAAGTATCACTGAAAAACTGGACGGCCACATAATCAAACATAATTGACTATGCCACATAATCTTCTATTAGAAAAACAAAAATTGTTGTTGGCATCTTTCCCTCTTTCCAGACGATAGTACTGTGCTATAAGGAGGTGTAGAATGTGACTTGCAAAGGCCAGCATGCTATGAGAACAGTTTTACACAGTGGCTGCATGGGAATTCGGGATCATTTTTGTCATTGCATGTTGTTTTTCTTCTCAAACAATTAGCTCTTAGTCTATTTGCAATCACCTTTTCTTTTGCCTATATTCCCTTCCTGATCTTTCCTCTCCATGCAATGCCATCTGTGGCATGCTGTTCCCATGATTTGATCTCAATACCTGTTTTATTCATGTTCCGCTTGCATGCGTCTTTGTAACCAAGCAGCGGTCGACCAACAGATCTTCTGCCTGTCTGTAATTCACAATAGAGGATGTCCATTGGAATTCTACCATCATTAGAAAAACAAGAGTGTATCCCAAACTTCAATTCTCCATTATCCCTGTGTATGTTCCGGGGACCCAGTGTAGAGGAAATCAAGACAAGACACTCACTGCCTTCCCCCAACAAGCATGTCATAAGAGTCGACTAACTGGGAGCTTCCTTCGAAGTCAGAATTCATCTGCCTGAGAGGGAAGGAACCATACAAATAAGTCAAATCTTTCAAATGGATGTGCACGCAACACTCATGGTTTGGAACAAGACCAAAGTCCAGAGGTGGATGAACGACCAGAACTTTCTGCCGGAATTTACAGATGGTGGACGCAAAGAAGAAAAAGACTTTCTGAATGCCCCTTGTAACTTGCTGGTAAAATCAGATTATACTTTTTAAATTTTTTTTTTATTTAAACAAAATTGTTATGTTCTGGGACTGGAGCCAAAATTGACAGTCATGACATGAAAAAACCATTATGTTGTGCTTGGCACCTTTCTATCTTTTCTAGACGCTAATAAAACAGAAAGATACAATTATTTTTTGGGACTGTAGCTGTCCAGATTTCCAGACAGGTTCAGAAATGACAGATTCGCTAGGTGAGCTGCACTAAAGCTAGCATCGCTGGCAAAAGATGTGTCGGGTGAGAAGCTGGAATCAGCCACACAGTAGTCTCGTGATGGAGTAAGATTACGCAGTGATCCATCCAGGCTGAATTCTCCACTTGCCAGTAAAACTTGAGCTCTCGTCTGTGACCTGGCTATGATTTCATTGATCTCCTCCATGCGGGACTTCTGTTTCCTGTAACAAATAATTTTATTCGAGAACTGAAAATATAATTAGAGTGCTTAACTCATTCATACTAGATTACTGATGTTTCAAATGATATAAATTTAGCATTTTATTTTTTTCCTAGTAAATACTGAAGAATAGTTTTAACAAGCATGTAATAAAGGTGACTTATTAATGATCTGTTGACATTAGATGCGTCATGTAGAATGGCACAAATACATAAGCCTAGCTGTAAACCACAACACAATGTGCAACCACCATTTTAAGAGTGAGTGCTGAAGAAGAATAACTTTGACAGCAAAACTTAAAAAAACGGCACTAAATGAAACGAAAAAGGAAAGAAAAACTTATTTCGATCCTTACTTCTCTTTATGTGCTCCATGCCTCCGCATCATCAATATGGTTTGTCTTAAGCGGGTACAGTCTTCCTCAAGGGCTTGAACAGAACTTCTGGTCACTGCATGCAAAGTACGTTCTGTGTTCAGTTTAGTCTCTGCTTCCAGAAGGGACCTCCTGAGTTTGTGAACCAGTTCTCCATCATCCTTGCCACCCTGGCCAAGCAGGCGTGATGTTTCAATGTGAAACTGAAGCTGATGGGACAACTCTGACAGCACATGATTCATTTCTTGCCTAAATAAAGGAATGGATCACAATAAAATATATTTGAACACCTGAAAAGAAGACATCTTTTGATCCCTGAATAAGCTAATCTACATCCCCCCTTCCCTATGTTGTTTTACTATTTCTAGTGTCAAGGAAAAGACAGCAAATTAAATGGTTTGCCTACTTGGAAAGAATGCCTTCTGATGCTATACCATCCAAGGCATATACCAAAAGAGGAGAGGAACGTAGAGCAAGAGGTAGACCAAAATCAATATGGAAGGATAACATCAGAGCAACTCTACCATACCACGATGTGTCTTTGGTTGAAGCAGCCAGAAAAGCACGAATCAAGACGTTTTATCTTTTTCGACACCCGAAGCAGTAAAAGAGGATGTAAAGAAGAAGAAGTGTCAAGGGATCTGGATGAACAGGTCACTGTCCATGCTAAATTTTAAAATTAGAAATATCACCCACAACTGAATATTTATAGACTGTCATTACAGTATTACGGTACAGACATATCCTTCCTGATTTTATTGGATTTGTGCACTGTGCTGTGATTTTCCTTGTGTGATCCATGGAGGAAACTGGGGCACTTAAGTGATACCAATTTTCAATTAAAGTGTTCTTTTTCTTTTACCGAATCAACAACAAACTAAACTACATCTAAAAACAAAAGTTAATATCAGAATCCTAACTGGCCTGATTAATATCATGTTAAAGGTTAGCTGCAGATTAACTTACAACCGACAAAGAACAGAGATACATAACTACACATACAAAAAGAACAGAGATATGGAGATAATGATAATATATGGACAGTAAAATAGACCTGGGCTATTCAACTTAGGTTACTCAGGAGCCAAAATGTTGACAGTCAGGATAATCACAAACCAGAGGTACCCAGTCCTGGCATAAAAAGATCATTAATAAAATACAATTGGCAATGATCTGCAGACCATTTGCTAGGCCTCTGTGGGTCAGATTTAGCTTGTGTGCTGCCAGTGTAATAGTCCTGCTATAGACTATCAGAAGAAGAAAAAAATATCTGCTTACCACATTCCTTTGCCATCTCCATCTTCATCAGCTTTCTTTGCTAAAAAGTTTCTCAGCTTTTTTAATTCACTTTCTTGTTCTTCAAATCTGCAAGTGAAAAGGTCAGAGTATTAGACAATTACCATCCAAGGCTACAGACTCTTTGTACCTGTAGACAGGTTTTCTCTTTCAACAATTCTGACAAGTGGAGTGTCACGTGCATTTTCAATCTGCTTTTTCTTCTAAAAAAATTCCATCTTGTACGGATTCTGGAGCCCCATCTGAGGGCAAAAAAAAAGGGGGTGGGGGACAGATCCTCTACTGCATTTAACTCTGCCAGACCTGAGGCTCTGTTCCTAACCTTTATGGTCTACTCTTGATGTGTCAAATTCAGTCAGATTTTTAATATGCGCACACAGTCTCTTTTTTCTTCCGCATTGAAGTTTAAATATCTGATCTTCCTACCCAAAATATTAGGACAAAGTGTGATATCACAGACACTAGTGGTTCTCATTTACATTCTCAGCCTCTGCTGGAAGTAAACTACTAGGTAACTGCCAAGGCTTGAGATGAACACAGAAGGCTCTCAGCAATGTCTTCCCAAGACAGCAGTATACAATCTTAGTGAACTAACCAAACAGCAGTATACAATCCTAGTGAACTAACCAAGACAGCAGTATACAATCCTAGTGAACTAACCAAGACAGCAGTATACAATCCTAGTGAACTAACCAAGATAGCAGTATACAATCCTAGTGAACTAACCAAACAGCAGTATATGTTCACGTCACAGTAAAATGGACAAGATAACAGTATACAAATCATAGCAGAATAAGTCGGACATCACTATGCACATCACAGTGAGATAGCAAGAGTGCAACACAAATTACGGTGAGATAAGCAAGACTATAGGTACATTATTATACTGAGATAATCCCATGAGGGTTCTGAGGCCCTATTTTGGAACAGAAATGATGAAATGACCCACTGACCCCCTAAAGAGCATGTTGTAACAGATGACTAATCAGGGATTTGCTGCAATCAGATGTGCTGGTTAAAAAAAGGTACAGATAACAGTAGTCTACCATAACACAACATGCCAACCACCCTTGTAAGGATAAACAGAAATAAGTACAAAATGATGAGATGAGCAAAACAACAATGAATATATTATAGCGAAATAAGCAAAACATAAATATGCAAATCTTGGTGGTATAGGCAAGACACGATACAAGAAAACTATAGTGAAATTATCTTTGTATGGCCTACCTCGTAAGCATTTTTGTCTGCATTTCCTCTTCCTGCTTTAGAGTTTTTTCTGTGTGTTTCAGCTTTGTCTCCCCTTCTCGTAAATGGTTCTCCAACTCCAGCACTCGCTCTTGTAACTAAAAAGTAAATAAAGAAGAGAACCAATATGATTTCTTCATCTACTTTTGTTTGCCTGAAATAAGTTGCCTATATTGGAAATTTTGTTTCTCCTATAAAGTTAATTTTTGTTTTTAGTTCATTCAGTGGTCAGAAGTTTACTGCCCACTATTGTGTGGGTTTTTTCTTTTGGCCATATTTTAATAAGTCATATTTGGTGCAAGTATGTGTTCTGCTGTCTGGACCAACTTTCCACTGGTGCACATGGCCGATACATCAGTCTTAAATCTTGTATACATGTGCTTGTGCAATCTGTTGTGTTCTGTCCTGAGACACAGGATAATGACTTGTTATGATCTGCCCATAATAAAGTAGCCGTCCTGTGCCGAGGCTGACAGTTTTCTGATCCTGTTCATTTGGTGATTTTTAACTGGTACATCCGGCCTGCTCTTCTGTTGCACCAGTCGACTGGCTCTCTCATTTCCACAATGGGACAGTATCCACTGTATTGTGAACCAATATGATGAAAACAAAGTTGTCCCTGTGGCTGTATAAGTGTGTTCAGATCACCATAGCTATTAAGAAACGGACATTTCTTTTCAGAAATAGTCACACATTAAACTATCATCAATCAAGTACCTGGCTGACTGGTAACAGAATTATGCTCCTCGACATGAGATTTCCAACACATCATCATCATCATCATGTTTTGGGTCGCTAGGCAGTCATGTTTTGCCATCTCACACCATCACCAGAATCCCTGCATGCAACATTTCATGTGTTGACACCTAACTGTGTTGAGACAAAAGATTGTCAACAATCTCTTCTTATGTCTGCTGGCCTCTCTTTTTCATAAACTTTTTCAATAGTCACAGCAATTTTCTAGTTTTTCTCTTCTCATATTGTAGCCAAAATATGTCAGTTTCTTTCTGAATTTTGTGATAACCTGTCTTCTAGTCTTAATCTCCTTCAAAACATCTGGATTACTCATTTTGGTTGTCAAAAGAATTCTAAGCATTCTCATCACATCTTTGAAATTATGTCATGAATTAAAGTAGTAAATAAAATACTCTTTTACGTTTATTTTTTAAACAATGTGGACATTTTATTCTCCTCTTTTTCTGTCCTAAAACTTCTGCTGTAAAGTGTCACAGAGAAAAGTTAGATGTTGTTTTCCGTCTTTTGTTAGTTAGCTTGTATTGATGTCATTCTGCATTTTTGCAGTGTCCATTTTACTCCCTCCACCCATGTTTTTCTTGGTTAGCCTATTGCCCTGTAGCCTGCTGATCTCATGTAGTATATACACTCCAGCAACTGGCTGTTCCCCCCATCCCGCCCCATTCTGACGTAACGAGCAAACTATCTGATTCTTTGACATTCTGTGAAATCATTTACCAGTACTGTGCCTTGTTCTTAGTTTTCCACTGGTGACTCTGTGGACGTTTATTTCTGGTATACAATTAGATCATTAATGTTTGTAATGCATGCTTTAAGACACCTAGATACCCCTGTAATTTTTGGTGATATTTTCTCCATGGGTGTTGGGTATTTTGCCGTCAATAGACTAACTTGGGAGTCACAGTGACCGAGTGGCTAGACGCTCGCCGCGCATTGGAAGGTCATGGGTTTGCTCCCTGGCGGAGCCGGACTTTTTTCAAAAATGACCTTGGCTCCCAGGTCAACCCAGCCTTGAGTGGGTACCGGCTGCAGTCCCGGGAAAGTAAAGGCGGCCGGCGTGATACTGACCACATCACCCCTCTTGTGTCGATTGGTCTATAAAAATATAGGTCTAGCCCTATATGCCCTATACGCCTAAAGGTGTGGAAAAGGGTTCTTTACAGACAGACTAACTTAATGGTCAATGGGAGAGAGGGTTAGTTGTGTATCCTTTCCAGGAGGTTCCAGAACCCAAACATTTTTTGGCTTTTGTGACTCTTCTAGGAATTTTACGTTCAGTGGTTCGACACCGCTTGCCAAATGGTTAGCTCTCGGTACTACTGTCAAAACCGACGCAAGACAAATCCTCTGCAGCTGGGATTGAACCCGGCACCCTTGCATTACGAAACGCATTCAGAATGCCTAAGCCACAGATGCCGATCAGTGGGAGTAACCAACAGTAATTCATGAATCTCACTTTTTTCTGCCACCAGTGCTTGCTTGTTTTTTTTTGTTTTTTTTGTTGTTGTTGTTGCTTCAAGTGTCTAAACATACAATGTAATAAGAGATGTAGAATTTGGTCACATAATTTACTTCACCTTCAAATTTTCTTTGTTTTTTATTATTATAGTTTCCCTAGCTTGCTCTAGGTCCACTGACAACTGGTGTGCCTGATGCATCAGTTTCATCTGATCCTTCTCTTTTGAATCTCTATGAAAATGAGATGAAGGAAACATGAAAATGGGATTGAACAAACATCAATGAATCAGTTTCTTTAAAAAAAAAGCTATAAATATAGTATTTTGCAACATTACTGACATCAGTAGGAGGACTTTGTTGTGGGTTAAAGGTCACTTGTCCAGGCAGATATCAATCTTTTTACAGGCCAGATTTTCCTTCTTTTTTTTTTCAACTTCATAAGATTCTTCTTCACCATCTCTAAAAGCTACAATCCTTTGCCTTACTGTGGAATCAGAGCCTATGTTTTCTAATGAACCACCTAACCACATGGCCACCTACTCCTCAAGCAAAGAGTATAATAATAAGGCAAAGACAAAGAAAACATCAGCAAGAAGTGCAGAAAGAGGAAAACAAAAATTAGAAGAGAGTTCAACTTTTGTGGCTATAATAAGAGGTATCTTCTTCTTCGCCCGTATGTCACCGGGGCCCTCACAGGAAGCAAAGAATAATGACACAGCACCCTATCAGGTATGTCGTAAGAGGCGACTGAGGCTAGGGTTGCGCTTGAGGTTGGCAACTTCATCCTGTAATAATAACAGCCACAAAAAACAATCGACCAATTTAGGATTAGCATTTTAGGATTATGTGAAACCAGATGGATCCGGGCGTGGGAAAGGTATTCTAAATTCAGGGTAAACTATTTTCTTCTCAGGACATACAGAGTAAAATTCTCCCCACTGTGAAGTAGTGGCCCTGATGCTATCGAAAGAACCAGAGAGGGCAATAACAGAAGGGAAGCTGTAAGTCCTCGAATAATAAAAGTGACATTTAGAACAGCAAAACAGAAGGTGAACATATCAGTAATACAGTTTTATGCACCAACAAATGATACAGCACATCTGAAAGTATCTCTCTCTCAAGCCAATTCTCCAGTCCTGTGTGCTTTCATAGTCACTGCATCTGTAATGTCCTCTATAGCACTTCACACTCCTAAGGCTTCATCATCAATACAGTTCCCATTTCCACAACAATAAATTGCAGAACAAGTAAAGAAATCAACTAACAGATACACAAGAAAAACCCATACACTTTCTGCTTCAGCTGCAGGTCGAGAACATGTAGTTCACTTGCAGACTGCTGCCTGTGAGCCTCTAGCTTCTGCTGAAGACGAACAATGTCTGCCTGTGAATGGCAAAACACACTTTAGTTACAGATTCAATACCTCTCTACAAGTTAGCTGAATCGTAGGTAATCTTCATGATAATGTGAGACTATCTTTCTTCCTCCTCTTCTTGGCATTCACAGGTTGTAACCTTTGGTGAAAAGTTCAGGTTTTTCATACACTTCTGCACAGGTCTTATTCTAGAACTTTAATTTTTTGTTTCACCAGCAGGTGCATTCTAACTTTGTTGCCTTGTTCAACATGTTTGTTGGGGGGGGGGGAAGGGGGGGCACTAGGTCTATTCTTCTTTCCCCCTCCCCAAATAGGACACCAGAACCCACATGAGGAGACTGTCCGCCTGTGCTGGGAAGTAAAGGCGGCAAGCGTGATGTTGACCCATTACTCACTGAGTGCCGACTGATCTATAAAATGTAAGCCCAGCACTGTTTGCCCAATATGCCTAAAGGCACGGGAAAAAGTCCTTTTTTTAGCATCTCCTTTATAAAAGTGTTTTAGTTTTTTAAAGTTTTGAAAAGTGAATTGCATAAATAACTAACTTTAAACTTCAACTAGTGAAACTAAAAAAAAAAGAAAGACTCTACATTTGAAATGTCGACATCACATGCCTTTCAAGAGTTAATGTTAACTTGCAACATCACTATCCACTTACCTTAATTTTGGGCTGTAGCAGAATCATGTAAGACGAATTCTTACTAAAAGTCTGCAGCTATTTCTTATCCATATTTATGTTACTAGTCTAAAGTGTGTTTAGCTTTAGTTAACTATTTACTCCCATACTATATACTTCTGTAAAATTATGGTTTTAGTGTTTATCTATTGAGAGGTCATACCATTTTATTCCCTCTATTCTGCGCAGGCACCAGTTAATGAATGTCTGTAATTTATTAGTAATTGCCTTGGTTGTTCTCCATGTTTCCGCCCCATACAATAGTACTGATTTGACATTAGAATAAAAAATTTTTAGTTTAGTATTTCTTTTAATTTCTTTTGACCTCCACAAATTCCCTAGTGCTATAAAAGCCCCTCTTGCCTTTTGTATTCTTATTTTAATATCTCTATCAGTTCCTCCATCTTTATCTACATTACTGCCTAAATAGGTGTACGACTCCACGTCTTGGAGTGGGGTGCCATTAAGAGAAACCACATTACTATTTGCCTGATTTATTCTCATTATCTTTGTCTTTCCTTTATGGATTTTCAGACCAAGCTGCTTTGATCTCGCATTAAGTATATTTAATTTTTCTTGCATCTGATTCCGTGAATGGGACAGAAGAGCAATATCATCAGCGAAGTCCAGATCATCAAGCTGTTTTGTAGGGGTCCACTGAATTCCATTCTTGGTGTTAGCAGTTACTGTTTTCATAGTCCAGTCTATAGCCAGTAAAAATAAGAGAGGCGACAAAAGACATTCCTGTCGCACACCTGTTTTTATTTCAAATGCATCTGTTAGCTTTACCTCATGAAGAACTCGACATTTCATGTCTTTATATGTTGCCTTTACTAAGTTGATAATTTTCTGTGGGATTCCATAGTGCCCCATCAATTTCCAGAGAGATTCCCTATCTATGCTGTCAAATGCTTTTTCATAGTCTATAAATCCAATGTAAAGTGGTGAGTTCAGTTCAATGCTTTGCTCTATTATAATACGTAATGTGGCTATCTGATCAGTACAGTATCTGTTTGACCGAAAACCTGCCTGCTCATCTCTTAGCATTTTATCAATAGCATCTTTTAATCTTTCCAAAATAATTCTACTTAATATTTTTCCAGGAAGTGACAGCAACATAATTCCTCTATAGTTTTCACACTCCTGTAGATCACCTTTTTGGGCAGTTTCACAAGATATCCTTCTCTCCAGTCTGCTGGTATTTCTTCGGTCTCCCAGACTTTACTGAATAATCTATGTAGCAATTCTGTTGATGTGTTTATGTTGGCCCTGATGGCTTCAGCTGGGAGACCGTCTGGGCCTGTCGCCTTTCCTTCCTTGAGAAGATTTATAGCTTTCCTAATTTCCTCTTTGGATGGTATCTCACAGTTGATATCCAGTTCCATTTCTAAAGGCTGGATATCTGGGGGAACCTCTGGGCCTGGTCTATTTAGAAGCATTTCAAAATATTCAACCCATCTGTCCATTTGATCTTTAGTGTTAGTAAGTACCTTTCCTTGACTATTTTTGATTGATCCAGTTGGCTGACTATATTTACCTACTAATTTTCTTGTGTTACTGTAAAGTTCTCTGAGGTTTCCTTTTGCTGCTGCTGTCTCTGCTTCTTGTGCTAGATCATTTAGATATTTCACTTTATCTGCCCTTATATGCCTCCTAACTTCCTTGTTGGCTTCTGTGTATTTCTCCTGAGCTCTAGCTTTAGCAGCTCTAGTTTTGCTATTGTTTAATTCTGCCTTTTTACTTTTCCTATCTTCAATCAGTTTAATGGTTTCTGATGTTATCCACGCTTTATGTTTCCTTTCTTTCTTGCCAAGAACTTCTACGCAAGATTCATTCCAGATTCCTTTGATCTGATCCCAGCAGACTTCTGTGTTGACATCTTCAGCTAACTGCTGCAACACCTGGTACTTATTAGAGACCGTAACTGAGAACTGTTCCTTAATTTCTTTATCTCTGAGAAAGCCTACATTATATTGGTTTCTATGATTATAAGATGTTATATATCTTTTTAGTTTCAACTTGATTTTACTTACCACTAGGTAAATGGTATGATAGAATAACTAATGTAGAACTTTGGGAGAGAACTAAACAGGTTCCAGTGGATCAGGAAGTGAGGAAAAGACGCTGGCGTTGGATAGGGCACACACTGAGAAAACAGGAGAACAGCATAACTAGAATGTCTTTGCATTGGAACCCACAGGGGCATAGGAATAAAGGAAGGCCAAAAAACACATGGAGAAGAGAGCTGGAGAACGAGGTTAGAAAGATTGGGAGGACATGGGGAGAGCTCCATGCAATGGTGAAGGATAGAACGACTTGGCGTGAGTTGGTTGAGGGCCTATGCTCCATTGGGGGATAGAAAGGCAGAAGAAGAAGATTGAGAGGTCTTTTAAATACCTCAAACCAAGACTTATTACCTTCAGACCTTCATTCTGGCTTTCTCTTTCTTTCAGAACCATTTCCAGATTTTTCAGCTGTGATGAGAAATGCTTGCTTCTTTCTTGCATCACAGACAGGTCTGCTTCTGCTTTGCTCAGTGACAACTGCAGCCTGCTCACAGTTTCTTCAAGTGAAGTCTGATCAATGAATATTTTGTAAAGGTTATATTCTACACACAAATTCTATAGTGGCCAATAACCTTAACAATGTTTTAACTAATGCAGGCAACATAATACAAAATCAAATCCTGTGTGAATGAAAAAAAGGGAAACAAACTAAAAAAATAGCCACCATCAGTCAATCAATCAGCATTTCTTTTAGAGAACATCACTCTCTTCACAGCACAACTGAAAGTCTGGCTCCAACTGACGGGATGTACCGGATGCCAGGGGTGCCGCGACAATAATCAAGAAAAGTCGGCTAAAAATTGTGAAATTATTAAAGAAGGCATGTAGATACTTAATAGTTAAAATTTAAGTTGTCTTCCTTTCCACTGTCGACAATAGTTTATTTCTTGTTTGAGAACCGCTGTGTTAACACATCATTAGCCCGACCCGATGACATCAGCAGCATGGCCTGTCAGCTGGAGCCGGTCATGGTCTGTCTCTCTCTAGCCAACTCTCCAGACCAGTATGCTTTCATTGCCAATGCATCATCAATGTCTTGTATCCATTTTCGCTGAGATCGGCCTCTGCCTGGTTTTCCAGAAA